ATGTTTTTATATAGAATTTTATATATCAAATTTGCTCAATGCATTTAAATTAAAAACATTTATTTGAATATATGATTAGTATATTTCCACATTTATATATTTTTCTATATAATTTTTGTATATATACATTTATATAGAATTATAAAGAGTGTTAGTTTTCTGCTTTTAATAAGTGTATAACTTAATTGCTACATGATCGGACAGTATACTTTCCTTTGTTGTCAGTCTCTATTTGACATTTAGCTTAGTCTTATTAAGTTTTTCATATGGGCTGATCACAGTACCATTGGCTTTTCACATTACAGTTATAACCAAAATCTTCTTAATGCTAACAGTATCCACCCTTTTCTACTGACTTCAGTCTTCCTTTTCATATCAATGTCAGGTAGACTTAACTGATGAGTAGCAATGACAATTTAGTATTTTATGCATACTTTCTGCTTTGTTATCTACTTTCCACAAGTGATGTGACTATGCTTAGTATATGTTTTTTGTTTTAATTCTACCTTGCAATAAAAAATAAAATAAAAAATAAGCATTTTATACAAACTTATTTTAAATAACTAATATTGTTTTATTTTACATTCTGATTCTTTTCATTTCATTAAAGACTCAGAAAATAGTTATACAATTCATATCTCTTTTAATGTTACAAATTCAGTACCACTGAAGACAATATACATGTAAAATGTTTGAGATTACCTATGTTTGTATAGTATTTTATATGATGAAATATGGTGACAGTTATATGAGAATACCTTATGAATAAGTTTATATATTTAGTAAATTATTCTAACTTGTATTGATCATTAACATTCTGGCTTTAATCAAACTTTTATATACCTAACTTTAATATACAAGGTTGTATTTATTCTTAAATACCAATTCTTGACTGGAGTTTCTATTAAAATATAATACATAAAATAGCTTCAGTTAATGATCTTTAAGTATCATAAGAACTAAAATTAATATACCCTGCTATATTTTGTATTTTATGTTATTTTCTCTGTTATTAATTGTACTGGTAAAACTTGCAATATACAAGAGTCAATGATAGTTCATGTTGGAGGTAGTTTTTCTACATTTTAAAAGATAAATTTGATCGTTTGATCATGTTAAAGGTAAAATTTAATGGTTGAGCATACATTTGTATGAAACAACAATAGAAAGAATGAAAAGTGCAAAACATTGTGTCCATTTTGTAGTTCACTGAAAAACATGCTATTCTCAAAAGACATTGATATGGAGTCTTTTTTTATTCACCGTTTCAAATCTCTCCAAAAGAGAAAAGAGACTGAATGTTGAATTTTGTATTTTAAGTGACAAATAAGTGGAAAGAGAAATAGATTTTCACAGATCATTTTGAAATAAATTATCTATATAGTGAAGCAATTTATATAATATAATCTCCTGGCAGTAAGTTAAATAGAAATATCCATGTTACAGGTTACTAAACTTATTTGATGGCAAGAAGTAAACATTCAATCATGTATCTCATTCTATATACATTTTATTTAACACATTTAAACATATTTTATATATTTACTAAAGTTATAGAAAGCAATAAAAAGTATTTTAAAAGCAGAAAACATAGGTAACTTTATCTATGTTTCTATCATGTAATAAAATTCTACTTACTGTAAAAGGATGTTTCTTCATGTATTACAAAAATTGCTGCTCTTAGCATATTTTAGTGATGCTGTTTTGTTAATCAAATTTCAGCTTTTATATTTGTTTTCTCCAACCTCTAGAAGAGCGTGAGTATTCTAAAGACTTAAATCATTTGTGTTTGCAATTTAATTTTATAGTTTTTGAAAAAAGCAGAAACTTGCTTCAACTATCACTACAACATAGTTTATTTTTTAAAATAAAGTAAAGGACAAAGTATTTATATTACTCCTAGCTATGAGTTAATCTCCTGTAGTAAATAGGTTAGTTTATTTACACTAATAATGTCAGTTGTTGAGAAAATTTTTAAAAATAGTATAGAAATATAGAGAGAAAAGTTATTTTTTATTTACACTTATGTCTTTATTTTCAATTAGACACTAGTGGTTTTGATAGCTTGATGTGATAGCATAAAATATGATAGCATAAAATATGATAGTTCAGTTAAGATTATGATCAGCTTCCAAGACCTATCCTAAAATGAATTTTTATGAAAAATATATTGTTTAAAATTAACAAAATACCTTAAACTTAATGGTAATGAATTTCTAGTTTTTATATAAAGTATATTCACAAAATAAAAAAAATGATAACATATTGAAAGATCTTTTGTGACTTGATGTAGCATTTTTAACAAAATCAGGACAGCTACAATGGAAATGAATTGTATAAATTACACTCATTTACCTGTTCCCTATTCATACAAAATTGATTATTATACTCTGTATATAATGAATAGTTTTATTACAATAACCTATTTTATTTATATTTAGATATACTCTAACATCTACTTTTCAAAATGCACATGTTCACTGATATTAGTCTCTTGACTGCACATATGGTTTAGTACATAACACTTCTGCAAACCTTTCTATCTTGAGAATATGCAGATATTTATGATTTTCAAAATGCTTAAAGAGCAAAATGAGTGAAGTATCTATTTGTACCTACATTCCTATGTTATGCTGTGTTTTTAATGCTTCTTCAAAACCTCAAAATATTGACTTTGCTATATCCAGTTCTGTTCATAATTCTAATGGGAAAATTCTATTATTCAATGATAATAAACAGTGATCAATGCAAAACAAACTTTGGATTATTGACACAATAAGCATTGACATCATAACATAAATCAAATCAACTAAACAGAAGAGAAAGGGAACACATTCTTTCATGAATTATGTATAAGACAGTATTTAAACAAAAAAAAATCATATTCTTTCTTCTCACTATATAAATTACTTTGTTCTATTCTTAAACTGAATTGATAAATTGTGGAATTTTCAGGTTATTGTAACATTTTCAATTTTTATTATGCTGATAACAATAAATATATATGAAGGTGAATTAATAAATTCATAGACTGATAGTTATATAAAAAATTGATCTGAAATTTTCATTGTATAATGTTTGATGTATGTGATTAATGGAAAAGTGTTGCATTGAGTTCGTTTACAAAAAAAGGAGATTATGTTGAAAAAAGTATTTATATATTACTTTTTTTCATCATTATGCTATGGACATTGGTTTGCCCATGTGTGTGTTTGTGTGTGTATGTGTGGTATATTTAGGTAGCGCAAATTTATTTAAATAAATTTTATTAAAATGAACCAACAAGATCTGTTTATTTAATTCTTATTGTATTTTTCCAATTTTTAAATAAGATGTTGTACATCAGAAACAGAATTGTGGATAAACTGTCCAAAGTTCATGTTTTGTACTGTTTTTATTCAAGCTTTAGCAAAAGTCATGGTAGGTATTTAGTATCATGTAAGATGCCCACCTGCCTGTCAAAGTGCAGCAGTTCAGTATGACATTGATTCTATAATGTAGACCTTTGGAACGATGTTGAATCATGCTGTCTTGATAGCTGTTGATGGCTTCCTGATATTTGTACATGCAGGATCTTGTGTGTGAATAGACCTCTTCAGCATATCACATAATTAGGCTCATTTTAAATCAATGTTTGGTGTACACTTTTCATCAGAGGTCTTCAGAATACACCTCAAATCAATTTGGTCTGATGACATTCTTGATTGTTGAGGTACATGGAGATCACAAATGGGTGCAAATGGTCACAAAGCAGTGCAACATAGTGGGCATCAATTAATGACATATTTAGATTGATTAGCAAACCTAAACTATACCACATGAATATATACACAATATTATAAAACCATCACCAGTTGATGGCTTCATGAGGTCTATACCATATCTGAACCCTACCATCAATGTGAAACTAAAAGAATCATGACTCTGAACCATGCTGCACATTGCCAATCCTCCAGAATACAATTAGCAATGTCACAAGCCCAGATGAGATACTGTGTCTAGTTTATTCATATCAAGATGAGTACCCTGGTTGGTCATCTGCTCTCATATCCCATAGAAACTAAAGAACACTAAACTGATCTGCTGGATATGAGTCTAGTACCACTTGCATTGGATTGAGGATATGCTTTGAGCCGGTGTCATTTGACTTTTACTGCGGACATTTCTAGCCATGATCATTAAGCACCCATGATTAGCCATGGTAAACAGAAATGCCATCCATCAGGTACTCCCAGCACACATTTGTACTTGTAGTTCAAGTGATATCATATGTTCCCACAATTTCAGAAATGTCACATCTGTCTGGCACCCATTCTGAAAATTTTACATTGCTTGCCATGACTAACTTAACCAGTGTTAACACTGACTCAGCAAATATCAGAGTACAGCTGACATTAGTCTGGACATTTCCATGACATCAAGGTAGGATGGTACCACCTATGATTAGCTTTATATACACCTATACAAATGACTTTTAGTATATCAGTTTCTTTCTAATTTCAAAGGTTAACTAATTCAGCCAGTTCTCTCTCTCTCTCTCTCTCTCTCTCTCTCTCATTTTCTTTTTTCATTAATTTTATATTTGTTATTGTTATTATTTTAATGAACTTATTTAAACTTTGAAATATCACAAATGTTTTGTTAAAATCTTTCTATTACATAAATTCTTCCCTCCTTATATTAAACCCCAGCAGCAGCCATGGTTTAATTTTTCATGTTAACATGATTTGGAAGTAAGACAATTACAATTATAACAATGTTCATAGGCATTTTTGCCTTTTTTTAACAACTCCTTTGTCAAATTATCATGGTCATTATTTTCCATGCAATAAGCAGCATCATTAAATATAATTATTTACTAGCAGTTTTTTTTTTTTGGTGCAGTGTGCCAAATATATAAATAAAATACCTAAAATGTGTAAATTGATAGATTACTTATCAACATCATCATCATTTATAATTAAGATATCCTTTATTTTTTTATATTTTTCTTATTTCAGATACCAGCAAGAAGGTTAAAGATGTTATGAAAGAGTTCAGTGGGAATGGGGTATTATCCAGATATAACCCTGACCAGGTAAAAAGAATTTTTGTTACTCTTGCATTAAAAAAATGTAAAATTGTCAAAGAACTTATTTTTAAACTGATCAGATTTATTGAATTCATATTTTATTACTTTAAAAATCAAAGTGCATGTTGCTAAGACTAGAATTTATTGAAAAAATGAATTTGGACTCCAGGCTAGGAAGTCAGATTGTAATGCTGTAAATAAACTCAAATCTGGCTTTTTTGTTTAAGAAGACTGCAAAGTGAAACTGAAAAAAAAGTGAAAAATTTGGAAAATGTCTATCACTTACTAGATAACTGAAAAATTGTGGAATATGCAAATGACAATTGTACCTGGCATTATTAGTGTGCTTGGAATGGTCCTAAAATACATTTAAAAAATGATTAGAAGAATTGTAAATTGCAAAACTGGGTAATAATAATACTCTTCTACAAAATTTGTGAAACTCTTGGTTATCACAGTGATCCACAACTTTAATAATCCTGAAACTTACGGCAAAACACAGAAGCAGAATAGACAATGAATTGTAAGATTAAAATTCAAAAGGTATTTGGAAAATTGCACAAGTCTGGTACAGCAAAATATTGAAATCTTCCTTTCACAAAATCTTAACCCCTAATTGTCATGTATTTCTGGTGTGAGCTAAGTGAAAAGTATGTTTGCCTAAGCACCACCAAGAAGCCAAATACCAGTGATCTGTATGGATCTCAGAGGATTACCTTAATCTGCAGAATGTGATCTGGAAAGATGAAAAGTACTTCAATCTTTCATTCTCTTTATACATATGGGCCAAAGACAAAAATTGCCTAGTCTTGTTAGCCATTGCTATACTAGCATCAATATTGACCCCAACCTCTCATTGGGAAATGAGGAAGATCCTGCTGTGGGGTTGGAAAACCTAGGACCAGGTGCCTTCTTAAATCTAAAATGAGAAAAAATACTATACTTTGATCTCGGCCACTGCAAGAGATGCCAGAAGACAGCTGATCCCAAAGCTACCAATAAATACATAAATAGAGGAGAAAGAAAAAAGTTGATTTTTCCACAATATAGTGTGAGTTGCCATTCTACAAATACAATTGTTCTGTACTTCAGTGTTTATTTTTCATTTGTAAATTTTTATTTTTTGTCCAGGCTTCAGTCTCGGAAAATATTTGGAGAATGATGGCAAAAGATGTACATACTGGCTATATGCAATATTTTTCTCTTGAACCACTGAAACAAACTATCATAGATGCAGAAGACAAATTTTCCATTCTATGCTCATAAAGCTGGTGAAATCTGACAGTTTTCAAAACAACAGCTGTAGCCATAAAGTATTCAGTTTTTACTAAATAATATTTTGTTAGTAAAAACTATTGACTTTTGAAATGTTTTTATAATTAAGGTACAACATTTTTTATAAAAATACTAGTATCCTAAAATGAAGACTAAAAATAAAACTTTACAAACATGCAGAAAATACTTAAAAATAACTTAGAACCACTTTATCAAAATCAGTACTTTTTTAAAGAAATCCTACACAAGAATTTAACTTTAATTAAAAGTACACCCAGTTTATATGTGCGAAAATATATATATATATATATATATATATATATATATTATCATCCACAGACAGATTGTTTCACTGTATCACAGCTCTTCAGTGTGGCTTGACATCTAGTTGCTTCAAGCCAAGATTGAAACCCAACCAATTTGGTATCAGTCAGAGATTCCATCCCTAGGCTATCATCACATGGCAGAGAGGAATGGAAATTTTAATGTTTTCTATGCAAAATACATCGTTTGCCCAGAGAGCTCAATTGAATTTGGTTGAAGAGCAATGCATATATATATATATATATATATATATATATATATAATTATTTATTTAAAAATATGATTCCAAATCGCTACATAAGAGGTCTCATGTTTCAAAACAAGAGCCGAAAACTTCAATATAATCCTTTAAATTAAATTGAGTTTAAATTAAAATGGGCTCCGTTCCATCTTCAAGCGAAATTTTTTTTGGAATAATGTATATCTGAAATTTACTTGTTTTAAAAATTGAAATCAAAATCTCCATGGTAAAAAAAAATCTAAAATCTAAGCTGGTTTGAAAGAAATGAATACAACATGGGAACCAGTAATACAGAATGTTAGAGAAAAACAATTATAACAACAAAATTGCAATATGAGCTCTAGTAAAATTGATTAAACTTACTTATAAACCTAATTGACATTAGGTTTATAAGTCCCAAAAAATTCATACACTGATATCCTCAAGGTGGATCTCAGTGGATAGAAGTGTTGGTTGAATCCAGTGACTTGACCCAAAGAATTATGGGTTCAATATCTGGCTACAGCTGAGGTGAACAAATTCTTGGAGAGTTGAGTTAAAGGGAGATAACTGATACTAAAACATCTGGAAGTGGCATGACATGTGGAACTAGAACAATCTACCCCAGTCGATGAAATAAAAGGTTCAGTTCCAAAGTACAATGTTTGTTTAATACATGTACATATATGTACAACATTGTGAATATGTCAACAAAGATGAGGACAACAGTCTGAGCAATGTAAATAGTGTAAATTCTTTATTTTAGTTATAATCTAGTGTAAAAATGTAAGTAAAAAATTTAGATCTAAGAATATATGCATTGTTATTCCATTGTATATTAAATAATGTTATTGTCTGTGTGAATATCCAACAGAAGAGTGATATTTTCTCATAGTTTTCTGTTTATTCTGATGTGGTTGATAGATCAGTCTTATAAATTGGTCTTCCACAATACTTTAAAATTTGTGGAAGACCAGTTTATAAGCTGCATGCATGACAGAAATATGCATTATTTATTTTTAAACTAAATTGTATTTGAAGTATTAATTGATAATGTAATTGGTTGGAAACTTAATGTTATAATTTTTTATTTGACTCCAAATAGAGAATTTGATTCTTAATTAAGCCTATATTTTGACATTGTGACTATAACAAGCTTGAATCTTTTGAAAGATAAAACATAGCTGTGTTTTTTGTTGTCTTCCCTGGTAGCATTTAGTAGCTCTATCCATAATGCCAACTCAGTTACTATAACATTTACTAACTTAATATTAACATGTTTATTTTCTGTTTATGTGATAGATAACCCATGGTGTGATGAATTCAGATTTTTTATATTCTCTTATGCAAAAAATGTCATCACATTTTGATTATAACATTGGATATTGGGATCATTAGCACTGGCATAATGTTGGTTCTTTGTGATCAACTGCATAAATCCACAGATTGAGTAATGATTATCATTTGTTGAGCCATTGATGATCTAAGTGTGAGATCAATCTGCAATGTATCCAACTATTTTGAATATCACAAGAACTAGTTGTATCTTGAAGTAACTTGGTAACCAATCAAAGGGGGCCTTATTTTGAATGAGTGAACAGACACTCCTTTTTAGTAGGATGTGTTGACAGTGGGATTCTGGATGAGCTTGTGTAGAGTGTGACTGTCACAATGATTGAGTGAATTCTTTACATTTGGGAAAACATTGCATCCACCCTGGTTTGTCAGCACTCTCCTCACTCATATTTGGCTCCTTATGATTTTCTAAAATTGCAATTGAAACATTGAAACAGCTAATGGCAATCACAAAAGAACTTTGCAAACTGTTCTGAAAAGTGAAAGGAACACTAGGAAAACTATATAATGTTTTAAAAGGAGTACATTGAAGAAGATTAAGTACCATTAGACTCTAGACAAACTTTTTATACAAACCCTATCATTTAGATATTGTACATCACACATATTAACAGTGGCTAAAAAATGTCTGTTTTTGTATTGCACATTTGATACATTTCACATTGTTCTGTTTTATTATACATTAATTTATTTGGAATATTTTATACTATCTTTATATTGGCTGATATAATTATAACATTTTGATCAGTATCTGCTACAACCTTTTTCAGATGTTTGCTGTATTAGGTAACATGCTAGATATTTCAAAAATACACCCCCCTTTAATCAATCCTCCAAAAGGTAGTTTTATTCTCATTTCACTGTCCATGATCAGACATTGGTTGTATCTGTTAACTATTTTAGTGATGTTACTTTTTGCTTTTTACACTGAATAAGAATATGATTTTCACTTCCTGATTGAAGGACTGAACTTATGACTGCCAGGAAATTAGATACATTTAACTAACAATTTATATGTACTAGCTCATTGACTCAATAAAGGGTTTTATTCAAAACCCCAGAAGATTACTTAATATAGTAGACATTTGAAAATGACTGGGAGCGTAAAGTGTAACTATAACAACAAATTTAAGGAGACAATTTTAAATATTTTAATCTTATCTTATTTATTATAAAACGCAGATTGTGTGTGTGTGTGTGTATCTGTAACGTTTATATATTGGATCGGATTTCCTACATTTTTCAACCAATTTCAACAAAACTTCACAGGACTACATAAAATTACCTTGTGGTGGTTCTAACAGCGACAAAAATGAGAAAAATATAATTGTTTTTGCACAAAATCAATTTGAAAACACGATTAAGAGACATCGTGAAAATGGAAGGGGACAACTCACATCGGGTTGTTTGTGTGTGTGTGTGTTCCTTTAAATATGGGAGCGGATTTCCTATATTTTCAGCCAATAAAACAAAACTTCACTTTTTTTTTTTTTTTTTTTTTTGTTTGGCAGGTAGTGTTTCTTATTCTCTTGCACACTTTTTTCTTTATTTTTAACATTCAGAATGATTTAAAAATTCCATTTACAAGACAATTATTTATAATAAAATTCAATCGGGAGAATCATAACAATTGAAAACAATGTTTTTGTTTGAGTTTGACCAATTCGTAAAAAATAATAAACAAAAAATAATTAAGACATGCGTGTCCGTCAACCTTAAACAATAATCTAACGATCTATACTGATTGTACGAATACAAACATCGGATAAATTCTTTATCTTTAGGGAAAGATAATGAAATCTAAACATACACAAGTCCTAACTAAAAATAATAACCGGAACGGGAAACTACTTTAAATACACATGGTGTCCAATTTTTTTACTGTATTCAATAAGTAAAAATCATAAATTGTAAAAGATTATTATATATTACAGAGAAGGCTACTAAATGAATAAGATTTGTTAGATCATAATTAATAAACCCAAATAAAGTTAATATTTTTTGTATTAGAAACAATGAGTGGAAAATATATTCAAATCAGAATTCTAATTATGAATCACCACAAGCAAAATATGCAATTTTTTTTTACTGTATTCAATAAGTAAAAATCATAAATTGTAAAACTAAAAGATTACAGAAAGGCTACCTACATTTTCAACCGATTTCAACAAAAACTTCACTTGTTTTTTGGCATGTAGTGTTTCTTATTGTCTTGCACACTTTTTTTTTTTTATTTTACATTCAGAATGCTTTAAAAATTCCATTTACAAGACAATTGTTTATAATAAAACTCTATTCAATCAGTAGACTCATAACGATTGAAAACAATGTTTTTGTTTGAGTTTGGGTTTGACCAATTCGTAAAAAAAAAAAAAAAACTAATTAAGACATGCGTGTCCGTCAAACTTAAACAATAATCTTTGTCAATTTTATTTTTCAGTCTTTATGATGGTGGATACTTGATCTATCTCTTACTGTTATATCCCCGGGCAACGCTGGGCTCTACTGCTAGTGTTTAATAATAATACATTCCTCATTTGCAGTAATTCTCATAGAAATTGTTCAGTTTTGTCTACTTTTATATAATTTGAATGATATCTTGTTTAAATCTCAATTTATTTGATTAACAAAAAACATTTTTCTCTATAAAGATGTGGGGTAATAGAAACAATAGAGTATTATCATTAATTGAGCTGATATGTGATTTTTAACCGTTCCAATTTTGCTTGAATAAATTTTATGGCACATTCTTTATATTGATTAATTATAAATTATCTAAATGCTACTTCATTTTAAATTATATCACTTTGTATTACTGCAATTCTAAGCTTATTTGTGCTCATATCAGTATCAAACAAGTTCTTCTATGTGCCAAATCTCTTCAGGACATTGGCAGTCATGGCTCTCCACAATTTCCTGTCTTTGTAACTCTTAGAAAATTTTATCTTTTTGTTGTCTTTCCTAAACCCTATTCTGTCAACCATTTGGACATGCTTCTTTGTCTAATCTATCATCAACCAATTAGAGTTTCTTTTTAAATAAAATTTAAGCAACATTTTCATGTATTAATACAAAGTGTTATTAAAATAAACATTAAAGAACATATTCATCTTGAGATATTGTCCATAAGTATAGAAATCAGATTTGTTTTTTATCTAGTGTCTGTGTAGGCCAGTGTAAAAGATTAAGCAAGTAAACAGCACTTTTAGGAAGAATATTAACAAATAGTTTCTGGTTCTCAGTATTTATAACTGTGTATTAATGTTACTCCATGATCAGATATTTTAATATAGGTTTTATCTGCACATATTTACCTCTACGGTTCTCAACAACCATTTGTAAGAAAGATTAAAGTAATAAAAAAATGTTATTACAAGAGAAAATTATTGAAGCTGGCATTCATTGAAAAAAATAGTCAAAGAAAATGTTAGTCAGATCTTAAGTAGCTTTCATTATATTGCGATCAACATTGCAAAATTTGTCCTGGCTCCTCTCCTAAAACCTTTATCTATGTCCACATTTGCCTGCTGACACTGTTGATTATTTTATTTCAGCCTATTGACTACAATGGTTTTACCTTGTTCATGAAAACTTATTTGGAACTGAATGAGGTCCCTGAAGAACTATGCACATCACTGTTCCAGTCATTCATGAAATCAGGTAAATGCTGTAATTCTAGCAACAGTTATTCCACAGATGTTGCCTCACAGACCATTTGTGTTCCTCTTGCACACAGCTCCACTGATCTGTTGCATCTTGTTGGCACTGACAAAGCTGATAGGTACCATGGACTGCTTGCTGAGAAGTTTCATGATCTCACCGAAAGAATCCATAGTCTGGGGCACTCAAGTGGGGAAAAGTTGTATCAGCACCGAAAGCGAGAGCACCAGCATTTTGAGGCCATTAACTCAGTAGGCATTCTCTGCAGCAAAACAGGTATTTTGCCATCTTTCATCTCTTGGCTGTCACATGAATTACTTCTTCATTGCATGCGATATTCACAAGTTTGTGGTCTGTACTAATTATGGTGGCTTTGCTACAGATTTTTGTGAGTTGTTTTCAGTTAGCCTAGATTAGCTGGGCTACATGCAGAGTGGAGGCTCTGAATGATATTAAGGATGCAATGAAATGTTCAAGGTGTTCCTTTTGATATTTAGAAGGCTTTAAATTTTAAAGTTCAGTTTTCAAATTTATTAGTGATTATGAAAACAATTTTGTAGAAATTTCAAGCTTAATTACTTTGTGGCAAATTAATTTATCTTGCTTATGCTAGTATGTAGTTTCTTCAATTTTTGGATGGTGAAAAATATCTTTTATTGTTAGGATGCTGAAAAGATATCTTTTGTTGTTTCATCAAATGTAACTGAAGCATTTTATTTGAAAAATAATGACATTAAAATAAAAAAAATATCCAACTCTAAATTTACTTGATTAAAATTTGAAAACCTTAAAGGTTTCCAAATTTTAATCAAGTAAATTGTTTCATTTAAAGATCACAATAATTCATTTTGTGTATCGTATTTGTTTAATAAAAACTAAGAAAGGTTTTTATTTATCATTGTGAAAACAGTGATTTTCAGTACAATTTCTTAGAAAAATTGATCTTCTCTGACATTTTTATCTCATTTTAAAAAGTATAATATTGTTTCACTTTTTGCTTAATATGGAGATACAGTCTGCATTTGATGATATAAAATACAATATTATATGACAAGATTGTTTTGTAATAATGTGAAATATTTCTTGTTTCAATAGCAGAAGAGAATAAAGATTTCTAAATAATTAAAAAGAATTTTTCTATATTTACTTCTCTAGTGTTTCAGTTGTAATTTATAATAGTTGTTTTTATGATTATTCATAATAAATTTACTTTGGCATACAAAGTAAAATGCCTTTTCTGTTAGGTTACTGAAAAAGTTTCCAGTAATTTTTTGACAAAATCTTTTCTTTTATATGAATTTATAGCATCATTATTCAGTTATCAAATTATTTTCCTTGGTTTATACTACTTTTCAGGCAACTTGTTTATTCCACTATAAAAGAATGATTCCAGAAATTCTTTAAAGAATTTTTGATAACTTGGAATTGCTGATGAGACAAGTGAGAGATGATTGTTCTTGCAAATAAACCACATGTATAAGAATTTCCCATCTCAGTTCATTTGTTGCCTCATATTTGTAAACTTAGGACAAGCATTGTCCTACAGTTTACAAATCATAAAAATCATGGAATATTTTCTTTGGTCAGAAATATAAAAATCATGGAATATTTTCTTTGCTCAGAAAAAAAAAGATCTTTTAACTTCTAGTACATTATTCAAACAAATCAGTTTCTATAGTGTTTTTTCAGTAACTGTTTGTCCAAATTACAACAACTGACAGTAAAGAATTCCCTTTGAATCCAAACAAAGTCTGTCTGTTGTGATCTTGAAGGTTGACCTGGATTAAATTATGAATTTCTTCATTTTAGATATTGATGATAAAATCATTTTTTATCACTCGTGACTATCTTCTCCAAAATCAAGAAGAGAAAGCTAAGTGATGAAGTGCTGACTGATGCTTTTTCTTGCTATAAATTCATGTGGAAATCATTTTCCAAGCTTCTGACATTTTAGTAAACCTCAAATACTTCTAAGAATTCCCTAATATTGTCCAAAGGATGGAGTGAAGCACTTTTGCATTAACTTAATAATTTTAGTTATCCTGCAATATGGTTAAATTCTTTATTTTTCTACACATAGAACTATAAGATTGGATTGTAGCCCATTGTTAGTTCTTTAGATAACTTTCTTTATGCAAATTTTGGAAGTCTTTATTTTGACTTAGAGAACTAACATTCACTTTATTTAAAAATTAGGAAAAATATACATTTTTATTGAATTTTTTAAAGATTTTAAAATTTCTATTCAATAACTATTCCTTAAGTTGTTTTTGATATTTCTGTTTAATGATGTTGGTGCCAAACAAATAATGTTTTAATTGGCTGCTTTCTATTGTTTTACTGATTATTTACCATTATTGTATGGGGAAGGGCTGAAATCTGACCAAATGACCAAAATATCAGAATTTTGAAGATAATCTCTTCTTGGTTGGGCTCAGGTCTTTTAAGCACTTCATTGTAGTTTTCCTTTTAGTCTTGTTTCAAGAATAACTGCTTCTTGAAATAGTAGAATTTTTTAACAAGGAAATTATATGAACTAATAAAAAAGAAATGCGTGTTCTTTAATTAAAACAAATTTAATTGTAAATGTACACAAAGCATGCTAAAATGAACACAAAAGTTCCAGAATTCCAAATCTAATCCTCAACATGATCTCCTTATGATAGTCCACTATTGAATAAAGGGGAATATATATATATATATATAAAATCTGTCTTGTAGAATTTTTTGGAGAGCCAAGTTCCAATTCCAGTTTGGTTTGTTATATTCACTGACATGCAAATACCCTTGGAAAAGGTATGAATCAACTTCTTCCCCCCCAGTTATGGATTAATAGAAATTGTATCCTTAAATCATTATTATCACCAAAATATTCTTCCAAACTAAAAATTATCTTTTGATTTTAAATAACCTGCAAAAGGTTGATAAGCAATCATACTGAAGTTTCTTGGCTGCTTTCTTAGTTATGTGCAAATTGCTTCTTTCACTTTATCATCATTGGAGAACAGGTGTCTTCTGAGTCTTTCCTTCATAGGTTCTGAAGAAAGGATTATCTATGCTGTGCCACTTCAGAATTCTTGGCCAATAACCAGCATCTGCTGCTTCATGGAATCAGCCAGCATTCTAGAAACCTTCTTTGCAATGACCTTTGAGTAGCCCACAGAATGCAGTAAACTGAAAGCTTTCATAGTTTTGCAACAGTGATTCTTCTTTCAGCTATAATGAGTGCATCAACTTATTTAACCTTATCCCCATTTACCCAGCAGCTGGCTTGCCACTGCAGAGCCTGTCATTAAGGTCAGTTTCTTGGAATTCTGACTAATACTTCTAAAGTGAAATTAGAACAGGCATTACATATTGACTGATCTCAAATTTTTTTTTACTAAATGTGTACATAAGTGGAAAATATGAATTAAGAGGAAAAGTGATATGTTACTTTTTCAATTTATATTTTTAAGAAATAATTTTCATATTTTTCAGAATAATTTTATGTATAATATGTATTTTTATATAAATGTTATATAAATTATTTTAAGAATTTCATTTGGCTAATTGTTACTATTTTCTTCTGATATTTATAAGCAGATTCTATTTTTTTTTAAATCCGGTTTATACGTTTTTATGTTATGGTTCATAAATTTGAGCTTATTTACTGAAAAGAAAGATCAAGAGATAAGTTGTTAATTTGAAAGTAAGTAATTTTTACGAAACTTGATGTAGCTTGAAAAACTCATAAATTTGCCATTGCTCTTTATTATTTATAGATTTTTTTGCTTCAAGGTTACCACACTAAATTTATATAAAGTGTATGACAGTGGGTGTGTTGCTTAATTCTATATAATGAGCGGTCTGTCTGCTCAATAGCATTAATAGTTTGTGTTGGTTTACTATTTTTGTTGGCTTTAAGCTTATTCTGTTTTGTTCAGTGACAGCTTCAAGAGACAGTAAGACTGCACAAACCCTCACACTGAACTTGTATGTTTCTATGCAATATATCCAATATCAACATACTTGTAGTCATCTCATTGTGGATATTTTGATAGAAATATTATTCATGTGACTGTTTGTAGGCTACTACCTACTTGTACAATGCAAAGAAAGTGCTGATAGCTCTGTTCCTTGCTTGATTCCCCTACTTCATGCATCCTGTTATCTCTTACATTCTCAAAATTAACAGCTATTTTTAAAAATAGTTCAGTATACAGGCTTATTTTATTACTAATATTATTAAATGATTTGTTTGACTAAAGTTAGTCAATAATGAGCAATTTTTATTGTCTTATTATTACAATATATTTTTATATTTATAAAATATAAAATAAATTCATATTGTAAAAACACTTTTTTCTTAAATGATTTAAAAATAAAATTGTAAGAAATTTTCTGAATGTTTTCTTTCTTTCAAAATCCATCTCAAAATATGATTGGTTATTTCAGTCAATTTTGACATTTTGATAATTTAAAGTCAAAATTTTTACCTGTAAAATTTGATAACTTAATTCAAAATATGAAGAGATAACAGGCATTGTGATTATTTGATTTTTATTATTTTAAGCTTTTTAATTATGAACTTTAAAAAGTTTTAGTGGCTTTTTATAATTGCTACAAATATGACTTTAGAAGAATTTTAAAAAATACTAATGTTTATCTTCTTAAGTCTATGAATTTGTATCAGTTTTCAATGAATCAGTACACCAAAAAGAATAATAATCAATAGTTATTTCAAACCTGAAGAATAATTTACATACAGGCATTTAAAAAATTCTTTGTTTATATTCCATTGTTTTATTTTATATATCACTTCAAAAATTTGTTTCATTTACTTCAATTAATTGAAATAAGTATAATGGAGTAGGTGATGATAGTAGTTGTATTATTAGTTTTAAAAACTTAGTGTGAAATTTTGTAGTGAAGTTAAATAATTTTTATTATTATTTTATAATCATGAATGCAAAGATATCAATGTTTTCATAGATGATTAATGTTACAATTTAATAGAA